ATCATATAACTAATGTATAATCTCTCTGTATATATATATCGATTAGAAATTATAAACATTGACTGTCGAAAAATTGCCTCAACAGGTCGCAATCACTAGTCTTAAGTCTTAACTCTTTTTATATGCTAAATGGTCAGAAAATTTGGCAAAAAAATTAAAAAATCTATAATATCTTTTTTATTTTAAAATAAATGATCTTTTTTTCATTTTTTAATTAAAAGTATTAAAGTTAAAATGGTAAAAATATTCAAAAAGATAAAATAACATAACATAAAATATATTATTTTACCATTGTGACTAAATTCTGACCAAATTTTCTGGCCAAAAAGATTTTTCCAAATTATAAATAAGGATGAGGTAAGCAGTCAAATAAAACAAGACTGAAACGTGAATGACAGGGTGGGTTGTTTCTGATTTGTTGGCACGAAATTCGAGAAGAGTAGAACAGTCTTTAAATTCTTCTTCTTCTTCTGGCTTAGAGATCCTTCTTTCTTGATTTTGATGAATCTGCCTGACTAACTTGCCATATGGGCACTGCATTATATTGTTGCTTTTTGTATGTATTCTTCATGCTTCTGACAAAGAAAATATATCATGTTTTCAGTCTGGTCCACACACCATATATATATAGTCAAACTTGATCAATTGTTTATTGAGAAAAATTTAGAAATAGCAAATCTAATAGATATAATAATAAAGCTTTATAGTTATAGTTTTGATAATTGTGTTTTATAGCTATAATTTAGTTTGCTATGGAGGGTGTGGTTTGTGTATTTCTGTTCGTTTGTATATTTTGCTTGCAAATATACAAATATGATAAGTATATATAAATTCTGTATTTATATATTTAGGAATTTTTCAAAACTTCATTTATATATTTCGCTTGCCAATATATTAACAGAGTAATTTATTATGAATTTTTCATAAATTATATCAAATAGCTAGGGTAAGCATATACAAAATTCTAGATTTATACTATCAGGTACCAAATTATACAAATCTGGCGAATTATACAAATCAAGCGAATACCAATAATTAAGAAAATAATAGCTACAAATTACAACTTTCTTAAACTACAACTATAGTACCTAATATAGATTAAATATATTCTATTCTGCATGTTTTTCCCTCTAATATTTACCTTAACACAAAAATTATTAAAGAGAATCCATGGTGCACATTTAACTAATTTATTCTTTAGTTTTTTTTTAAATATATATATTTGATTAATTAACAGGTTTTCTTATTGGGGCAAGAGACCAACGTCATGCACCCATGTTTGTGCAAATGCTTGAAACCTAATTTATGCATGTGATCAACAAATTAAAAGATTTTGACACTAACAAAAATAACCTTTAACGGTAGTAAATATAAATATTACTAATAAAGAGTGTTTAAGTCTTTATCGATATTAGTTAATTATCATTGGAACCAATATCATTATAGGCTTTAGGGACATTCACAAATAATAATTACCACTAAAACCTTTTTGGTATAGTGTGAGTCTCTCCTTTTAGCAGGAGGATCGAAAAGACTTTTATTTGCTTAACTATATTTTCAATACGTTTTTTTTTTGTTTTATCATGAGTTTGATTTGTTTCTCATGGGAAAAGTATAGATAGCATGAGATTCAATTTCTGAACTTTAATAACAAACTAAAGTATGCGATATTTTCATCTAAAAAACTTTGCTTAAGTTATTTTGGAATAGAATATTAAAAAGTAATACTAAGAATGATACATATATTGGGGTAGAGGAAATACTTGGTATATATTTTTCATTCAATCGAAAGTCTATTGAAAACATAATTTTTAGTAATGAAATAAGATATACATGTTGTAAATCATTTTGGTGGTTAATGGATGATCATAGCTCCTTGATTAATTTCCTCTTTTATAAGTAGTAATGTTTTTGATAATGTGGTCAAATGGATGACCATAACTCCTAGGTTTATTTCCTCCTTAATGTGTAGTAATTCACAAGGTTTAATGTAATGTTTATGACAGTTGACACCCTTTGGTATTCCTCAATGTAATCCTATAAATAGTGGTGTTGAGAATAATGTTGAATACACTTGAAAGAAAGAAAATTATCTGATATTGTTCTTCTTGCCTTCCTCTTTATATTGTTCTTTTGTTCTTAAGTTTTACAACAATACATCATTAGTTGCAATTTTACGTCTTTAATTTTCGTAAATAATACTCACATACAGGGCCGGAGGTAGCATATACTTAGGGGGTTCATCCGAACCCCCTTCGGCGGAAATATTACTATTTATACATGGTTAAAATTATTTTTTAGATATGTATAATAGATGTCGAACCCCCTTTCACTAGTTCGTGTATTTACTTCTCAGATTTTGAACCCCTTATTAAAAATCCTGGCTCTGCCACGGCTCACATAAGCTATATATGTGAATAGAATATATATTAATTTTGGGGGAATTAACAATGTACGCATCATAACACACGATGACAGTAATCTAAAATAGTACTCCCAATTAAGGGAGTCCTAATATAAGTATGTAACAAATCCCAATATAACTCCAAACTAAGTTTGCAAGTTCATAAAAATAAAAAATATGACTAGTAAAATTAATCAGAAAAAATATAAGTAGTTTTAACATTTGAATCAATCATTTTGATGGAAATTTTCTAATTTGATGTACGAAATATTCCCTAAACATGCATACCGACAAAGAAAAGCCACACATTTTTTAATTTGATGTGCGTTTTTTTTTCCTATTTTAATCTTAACATTAATTATTTATTCTTAAAATCTAAAATCATGCATCAATTAATATGTGTATTGTGGTGAATTGCTCATTTTAAGTACTTGTATTATTTTTTAAGAGCTTTCAAAATTCAAAATGGATAAATATACATGAACGGAGACAATAATATAAATTAAGAGAGATTAAGATAAATGTAAAAAGAAAAAATTCAACAAAATAGTTGTGTGTACATGCAATGCATATATCGATATTATATTAATAGTTATGTATGTATCTATCAATATTGTATAATCATGTATATATGATGCATAACTATGTATTAGAAATGTGTGTGTATATATATAATTATATATCAAAGATATATATATATATACATTGTTTATACAAAACATTCACATATAGCCACTCAAAAATAGCCTAATTACTCTCCATAGCTATAGTTTGATAATTACAATTCGTAGGGGCAAAGAGTGGGAGAGAGGTGAATTGTATATGTATATCGGTTAGATAATTGTATATTATACATATGCATTTGTATATATGGCAAGCGAGATTAGGAAAGGGAGGAGAGAGGCGAGCGAGATTGGGTGAGGGAGGAGAGAGGAGAGCAAGACTGGGAGAGGGAGGAGAGAGGCGAGCAAGGGAGGACAATAATTTGTATAATTCGCATCTCGTTTGTATAATTCGCAGGTACGTTTGTATAATTCACGTGTTTTTGTATAATTGAGTAATATAAAGTCTGGAATTATACAAATATAATAAAACTCGAAATAACAAATTGATACAAACATAAATATATGAACTTTAAACAATTATACAAAATATATCATACAAATTACATTATATAAATCATATTATACAAAATCCAAAAAACTACACGTTTTAAACAAACTTTTAAAAAGGTATACACAAAAAGATTGAATGTATATGATGACAAAACTTAAAAAATCAAAGGAAATCATCGTCATATACAAATATAAACAATCGTATACAAATACAAATCAAACAAAAAAATTGTTAGCTGTGAATTATACAAATGTGGCGAATTATACATATACAAACGTGACTAATTATACAAACTCAAAGTCATCCCACGTAATTAATGTATAATGTTAGTCACGAGTGGTAATTAAGCAAACTATAGCTATGATGAGTAATTAAGTACTATAAGTTTGCTTAACCACGTAATTTTTCCTATTTTTTTATACCTATTTTATTCAATTCTAACTAACTTAAATTTCTTCTACATAATTCCAATTTAATATATGAGCTCCTCTCAATAATTTGAATCTTTCAATATATACATTATTTATGTAAAATGATTCACATTTACAATACATCAAATTTTAAAATTTGAGTTTGAATCTCTTCAATAACAAATTAATATAATCATTATTACGACGTTTTAAGTTTCGACTGAAAGACCAAAAAATTAAAATAAATAGGAGTACCATGTAACCATCCAAAATTAAAAGTTGTAAAAGTAAATATTCCAAAGCTTTCACATAAATAAGCACTTGCTTCATTTTTGTTCTGCAGAATTAATACAAGAGTCGTCTTTGTTAGGAAACATTTATTCTTAATATTGGACTTTCAGCTCGAATCAAGATTTAGTTGGACTTCAAAGGCTCCAATATAATTGTCGGACACCAAATAAGAAAATCAAAAAAATATAATATATCAAACATCTATAAAATGTACGTGAAATATGATAAAATATCTTAATAGATGTGTCAAGTCCATATACAATAACTAATACTCCCTCCGTCCCATTTTATGTGGTACCATTTCCTTTTTTGTCAGTCCCAAAAAGAATGCCACATTTCCTTATATGGTAAGTATTTAAAGGTACAATTCCTCTTTTACCCTTGTTGGGCCCATTTAATCTTAAAAATAGTACTCCAATACATTTATGAGGAAAGAGAAAAGTGAGTCTACTTTTTAAAGGGCAATTTGGTAAACATTTCAAAGTATTTATTTATTTCTTAAACTCTGTGTCTGGTCAAATGTTGCCACATAAAATGGAACGAAGGGAGTAGTTTTTATTAAGTAAAAATGAACCAAGAAGTTTATTCTATAAAAATATGATAAATAGATTGAAATTTTCATTTTAATAAAATATAATAAAGAAGTTATTTAAATTAATAGATAATTTTTTAAATAAAATATCAATGTGATATTTTTGGTTATAAAATAAAGTTTGACTATTCTAAGTTGAGTTTATCTCTAAATAAATTTTGAAAAATCATTAAAACTTACATTTTTCCGTTGATGTCTTTTGAGAGAAAAGAAATATTTCTGCAATTGAGATTTTTGCATACATATTTTAATATTTTAAAATTATCAATTTTATTTTGACTTTATTTCCAAAAATAAATAAATTCCAATCTCCTCTTCACTGAAAAATGAGCTCATTTGAATTAGGGAAAATAGGCAGATTGAAGTAAAGCACGCCGGCGACAACTTGGGTAATTTTCTTCACTTTCCAATGCTTAATATTTTGTGTTTCTTATGAATTAGTAACTTCTTTATGTATTTTGTAATTTTTTAGTTAAATTTGGGGATTTGCTTTGAATTGTTTTGTTGATATTAAACTACTCGTAATTTTGGGATTATGCTTAACAATAAGGTTCGGTTTGACCATAGATTTCAAAATTGAAACTTGAAAATTTGAGTTTTTGAAGCTGTGATATGTCTTTTACTTGAAAAAAGTTTGAAATTTTTTGAGTAGAAATGAAATTTCTTCAAAAACAGATCAAATTTCGATAGTTGAAGGTAAAATCTATGGGTGACTGCTAGCTAAGTCCATTGTTGATTGTTGAAACAGGTAATTTTACTAGGTAGCTTAAATCATAGCAGTTGCTGAAATTTCTGTCGTATACCGGGTAACTTTCATTGCCATGAAAGTTGCAATGTGTGTGTTAACAAATTTGAATACACATTTTATTGTTTTCAGTACTAGGTTCTGGCCAAGGTAAAACACATGCCTTCAATGATAAGCATTTTTTTGAACTAGCATTTGTTTCTAGTTGAAGTTATCTCTCTATAAATTGGTCAGTGTATAGGATGGGTTTTGCTTCAATAGTGATCCAACATTTCTAATACGATCATAAGTTTCGCTGAATGGGATGACATTGTCGCAATGTTACAAAAACTAAACATTAGAAATCCTGCTTATCATAAAAAAGGAATACTGAAAGCAAAAATCACAATGGTCCTAACTAGCACCTTAAATCCATCTAGGTGAGAACCATAATCAAGTTTTCTTTTTACAAGAACTTCTGAGAAGAGCTTTTCTCCTTACCTTAACCTTATTTTGTGGAGATAGAGAGTGTTTTTTGATAGACCTTTGGCTCAACTGTAGCAAATCAAAATGGTTATGTAAAAGACAATAGGATAGTGAATAAAACATGACAACTAATATGGAAAGCAGTACAAAACATTCAGTAACAACATCTTAATAATGCGGTAACAAAAACACAATCGATACAGAATGGTTACAAATATGAAAAGGACACTACATATGTAAGGCTAATACTACGACAAACAACGTGCTTCCCTAATGCCATGTTATTTGCATCCCCACTACTCCCCCTGGCTCCCATTGCCTCTACTTCTCCCCTATCTCTGCGCTCGAGCGGGGTTTAAGCCACCCCGTTTGATCCTCGACTGGTCAAACCAAGTCTTCTTCTTCTTCTTCCTCTTCCTCTTGATCTTCAAGTCCATCACCATAAGCTTATGTTGGACAGTTGGGTAGTAGGATTTCACTTGGTATAACCTTGCAGTCCTTACAAAGGCCTCTATCCTCGTTCCTTAAAGAGTAGGTAATCTATCTGAGTCTTAGCCACCACAATACTGGAGGTAACCAAGTGATCCTCCTTCTTCGAAAAGCTCAAATTATCATGTTCTAAAAATTTGTAAGTAAATGTGTTAAAATCTCATGTATCGAACTACTGATTATATACAGCAGCGGATCTGCTGACACTTACAAAAGACAACAGAGCTTTACACAAAGCAAGTTCACAAGCCAAAAATGCTTAATTTCTTGTAACATTGAACAAAACTGTGACTAATTGGTGTCTAATCTAAAATGGTACCAAAATCGCCTGTTTGACATCATAGACATTGGAAACGGAAGGCATACTCAGCTTGACCTTGACTCTACTTCTTAACAACTATAAAGAATAGATTGCATGCCTAGAAATGGGATTAATGTAGGCAGCATTTTTTTCTCAATTCACAAAGTTGTTTAGTTAAGTGTCAAAAGAGATTGTTCGGACGACTAGCTTTCAATGGCATCCCGAAGTTTTGATAGACTCTGATTTCCCCTCCCGAGCTTGCTGTCACAATTACCATGCCCCATGCTGTGGATTGGATAATGTTATTTCCTTGGTTGTTGCTACCATCAAACCTGCTGGACGAAGACACAGAAGGTGAGTCGCCATCTCTGATCGATGGAGAACTCGATGAAAACGATTCACTAGCACCAACTCCAGGATCTGTTGGAGATTCTTGAGCTGAGTCCTCATCTTGACAAGTTTGGATTTTTTCCGCTGCACTGTTTTTCTTGGCCGGCAGAGGTGGTAAATTCCTCTTGCTATTTGCACCAGCCGAGTTGTCTTCCCTCGTGGGAGAGCCACTGATGGGAAGTGGAGGTGGTGGGGAACGTTTCGAATCCCTTCTTGAATGTATCTGATCTGCAAGTGGTGGCTGATTCTTTATACTGCCAGGCCACGTGATGGCAACTGAAACATCTTTACATGGGAAGTGCTCGTACGATTGAACATTTACTACACTTTTAGTTTTACTAGTTGCACTTTTAGGTTCTTCTCTCTTCCAGATATACACCTGAGAGTCTTCACTTGCACTTACGATATACTTCCCATCTTGACTAAATGTAGCTGAAATTTGGCTGCTTGTATTCCGTAAACCTGATGCAAGATAATAGATCCACAGTTTATGTACACAATAACCCATTTCAAGCTCTCCAAGTGATTATATTTTAGGGAAAGTACCTTTAAATTTATGGGTCATTTCCGATCCATCAAAAATTCTGACACGAGAATCAGCTGAAGTTATAAGCACTTCTGCTGGATTCCCTGGAGCAAACTGGACATGAACAAGTTCAGGTCTTAGATAGGTCTCCTGCAAAATAAGGTTACCTAATGAATAGTTGATATAGAAAAGAGAAATACCTGAAAACCAGTGACTTTTTTGGCTACGGACTTCTTTTTGGGTTCGAGTTCAAAGCTGTCCTTTTGTTCCAGCTTGCATTCTAAATCACAAACACGTCGGAAGTTAACATTCACATTTCTCTGCAGATTATCACTTTAATAGAAACCTATGCAATGATTTACTTACCAGAGGTACTGTACATGCGACAGCTCCCTTTATGTGAGCCAATTAAAGCACCCTTCAACAATGGAAAAACAAAAACATATCAGGTGATACAATTCACCTTTTCTTAGAGAATCACAATTGTTCTATTTCTTTTGTTGATTCTTCTAATAAGTTGATTCTGAAGATAGTTGTGAATGCTCTCTAATATGACTACAATTGATGGTAAGTTGTTTTTGGCATGTTGGAAACCAGTAAAAGTTGGATATATAACTACCTCGCCATCAGGAGAGTAGCAAGTAGCAGTAACCATTTCATGAAGATCTGTCCAGTCCACAACTTTCCGATCAGATACATTCCAAATTCGAACTTTTCCATCCAGTGAACCGCTGATAAAGTGGTCGTCATCTACTGGATTGAAGTGTATGCAGGTCACTGCCGCACAGAGATTCATCAGATGTAAAAATGTGTGATGGTAAATTTAACACGGGAGTTGATTGATGAGTAGCTACAATGTAACGTGGTATCTCACCATAATCGTTATGTGCAAACATTTTTAAGCAGGTCTGAGTCTCGATATCCCATAGCCTGACTGTCTTGTCCATTGAGGATGAAAGGAGTTGCTGCATCAAAATTTCATCTAGCATGTCAAGTCAAGATTTCACTGGAATAATCTCCTTATCAGATAATTCCTTCTTGTTCAGCAATTGACATTTTATCTCACTCCATTTCGTTTTATATGATGTAGTTTGACTGTTGTGGAGTTATATAAATAAAGAAATACCTTTGACACATATCAGTAGTGTGTAAATGCACATCCCTATGTCTATAAGAGCATGTCATTAAGGATAATATGAATTCTTAGAGCTAAGTTTATTGTAAATATAGAAAGGTATCGTTCTTTTTGGTACAGATTAGAAGGAAACGGAGTAGTAAACTGATATGAGCATGAAAACTGACCTGAGAACTTGACCAAGATAGGTCCAGGACATCATCTTGATGACCACTGAAAGTGCATACTGGTTTGTCTGAGAGAGCAAATACAATTTCAGGTACATTTACATACTCTGGAAGTGAGTTTCCCTTCTTTTTATTAGAAGTCTTCCCCTTTTTCCTTCTTTCTGATTGCATATTAGTCATAACTGGCAGAGGTGGACGATCCGAATTACTACCAGCCATTGGTGTGTCACTGACAGAATTCGGATCATCGGATTGTTTTGTAGACATAACATCACATTCTTGCACTTCCCATACATGAATCACCCTGTCTTCCCCTGCAGTTGCTAGATACCGACCATCCGCGGTGAATCTTATGGTCCATATGGAGCCTTCATGAGCTTGAATTTCCTGACACAATTGCAAAGCTGTGAATTCTTTGTGAATCTTTCCTTGCTGCCGCGCTTTAATCCATTGGGAGGAATTCTGTTTCTGTTTCTGTTCCACTAGTGCAGGTATCTCAATTTCTTTATCAACTTTTGACATGCTCATACTATTTGCAACTCCTTTTATGTTCTTCAATAGAGCAACTCCTGTTTTCTTGCTATATCTGAAACTCTTGCTGAGATACGCATTTACGTTAAGTTTTCTTTCATCATTTGTTGAAACATTTGCACGGCGCATCAGTTCCTTAACAACAGGTGAGTATCCCACAGATTTCTCAAATTCCTCCATGGAAAGTTGCTTCCCTGTTTGTAGATCACTGAGCTTATTCCACATTCCCTCTTCATTGGACTCTTTAACAATGAATTCATTTCCAGTGTCCAGATTTTTTATCAGGAAAAACGAAGCAAATCCCGAATCAGCATTTCCATTTGGCAATGTGGATGATGGTGTTTCACCTCCATTTTGTGGTGATGTAGATTTACATGTTCCCTTTTTATGCGGCACCATTACAGCAGCAGAATTTGTATACTGGCATATTCTTGTAGCTGGTCCTAAAACTCCTGAAAATGTCCTGGTAAGACGTTGTTTAGAAACGTCTCCGAGTAACTGTTCTTTCCTTTTCTTGGTATTTACGGAGAAAAACTCTATGTCACCGTCTGATCTCGACCTGAGCAGCAAAATTGGTGGCGAATTTGAAGCCTCTGGCTCTTGTTCTTGTTCTTGTTCTTCCTCTTGTTTAATTAGCTCTTGATTGGAAGGACTAATCTCAACTTTTGGTATGGAAGAATCTTGACATGTATCAACTTTTCTTGAAATGGCTCTCACAACTTTAGCACTTGTTAGCTTGAGGAGTTCCTTACTACTTGTCAACCCCATTCCCTGGAGTAAGCGTTTTCGACGCTCTTTAACATCTCCTGGTTCAGCCATCCACATGCCGTAGTCTTCCATGACAATAGGAGGAGGTGGAGACGGAGAAGGATTGGAGATGGAGACGGTTTTTGTTTTCGCTGTCCCCATCTCAAGGCCTCGGAAAGTATTCTTGATAGAAAGTGAGGCCGAGAAGGAACGTCTACTATCCTCAAATTCGACCTCATCATCTGACCCCGAGGACGCCAAGTCTTGGGGAACGACCGTGGAAAGGCGGTCGTGGGACTCGAAGAAGTGATCATCGTCATCGTCTTCTCCGAGACCATCCCAGTTTATAGTCAGCGTCCTGCGATACATTGTAAGAACATTTAAGAAAATCAAATGTTAGATGGGAATTATTGTATTGTTGTTTGTTTGTTCATCATAGAAAATTGCTAGGGAGAAGAGAGTGGGGAGAGAAGTGGAAGAGAGAAAAAGAAGGAAAAAAAAAGTAGTTATGTTTGTGTAAAGGAAATTGGATGGATTGTGAAGAGGGAAAAGGAAATGGTCAATGGAGGGTCTTTTAGTTCTCCTCACGTCTATGAGTATCATGTTACCACTCTTTGTTGTCTTTTTTTTTTTCTTTGGTTTCGATATCTGTTTTGAGATTTTGATTAATTCGGATTCACACCATATAAGACTCGAAGCACTTCTGATTAAATGAGAAAAGATCTTTGTCTATCTAATAAAAGTGGACGGAGGTTGTATTATTTTTTGGCAAATGAAAGTCATGACTTTTTCCACTGTATCAAAAAATCAGCACAAATATTAAATTGAATTTGGCATTTGACTTTAATCATTTGAGAGGCACAAAGGAGTTCCACCTTGGTAAAAACTTATATTACACTTATTATTATCTTATATAAAATAATTCTTAATTATCTTAGGTTATCAATTATTTAATTATACATATGTAATACTCTTCTCTAATTTCTTTAACCCTAATGGACAGTTCACATTAGTATGACTATATATCGGAGAAAATGACAAAAATGGTCTCTTATTGTGATAATGGATTCATAATAGTCTCTAAAGTATGTTTTAAATAGTTTTGACATTTTTTTTTCTCCATCACATATTTAACGGACTCTGTCGGTTAGCTTTGATAAAAGTTGTTACAAATTAAAAAGGATTTAGCGAGAATTTACATTTGAAGGTATAATTTTTGCTATTTTTAATCTCTTTATATAGTTTGGTCTAATTTTTTCGGTGCAATTTCTGTTAATTTTGGTGTCTGATACAATTTTTTTATATTACAGTTTATAGAATTTGATAGGACCTTTTTTAGTGTGTTTTTAATAAGTTAGTGTTATATTCCTTATTTTTATATTAGTGTTTTTTCCGTCAAATTAGCACACAAAATTCATTAAATATTTGACGGAGATAAAGCTACTAAGTTTTGATACACTTAAAAGTCGAAACTGTTCTAAACATAGTTTAGGGACTATTTTAAATCTGATCCAAATACAAGAGACCATTTTTGTCATTTTCTTCTCTCTCAAAGTGCTTAATTTGGTGTCATGTCTTTATTAATCTCTTAATTAACGCTTTTAAATTAGGTAGGTTATGTAAGATTGGAGTGTGTGGAGGACGCAGTCACGCAGATTAGGTAAAAAGTTAGTAGGCAGTGAAGTGTTGTCTTGCTTTTTCGAGGGTTTAGGTAATTGTCGTCGTACTAGCTGTAATATTGTAGTCGGTTGTTTAGTGAGTTTTGATTGTCGCACTATTTTATTGTTCTTGTTCCTTTCTTGCAGGATATACACTGCTTTCCTTGTTAGTTGCTATATTTTTTATTCAATGTTTTTTTATTGTTTATACTTGGATTTGCTACATTTGAGCCGAGAGTCTCTCGAAAACAGTCTCTCTATCTTTATTAGATAGTGATAAGGTCTGCATATATTTTATCTTCTCCAGACCTCATGAAATTCCACAGAATATGTTGTTGTTACGTAAGAGGGGATGGAAAAGGTCAATGAAGGATCTCTTATTAGTTCTCATTACTCCCCTCACGTCTATCCGGCATAGTAGTAATAATCCATTAGTTGTCTAAGTTATTAAGTAATTCTCCACTGTATATATTATATTTCTTACTGATCTGAATAAAAATCTTTACCAAAACTAATTACTATAAACACCATTTGGTGCTAAATTATTATTACCTCCTCCTACATAAAGGCATGCCTGGGAACACAACTTCTTTGTAGTGTTAGGATTTCTGTGCCTATGTTGCTCGAACTCTAACTTTGTACTATTGGATTTTTGAGCCTATGTTGCTCAAACTCTTCAAAAAATTTATTGGGTGTGTGCGGATCTTTATGAAGAATAGTTTATGGAACTTTGAAAGAAATGAGATAATTTAATCTTGAATTAAATATCATACTTGAGTCATTCAACTCATTTCAAATGAAATATTAAGGGAAAGGTCTCGATGTAAATGTATTGAACATGAAATTAAAAGTTGTGTTCAGATAAGCTTGCACATGTTTGTTGGAAATGTTACCGCTAGAGAAAATATGTGTTTACTCGAATCATGAACTGATGTTCCAGCAATGTAAGGATTCCAAGCAAACCAAGGTTAGTCCGAATACTTTCGAACGATACATTGAAAAGATTTCTACAGAGGCAAAATATTCCCACTTCTTTCTTTTCATATTATGGAGTTTTTATTTCAACATCTCTGGTCACAATTAATTTTAATTCAACAGCAAAAGTCTTCTTATAATTAATCATCAGAAAAATATACAATAAGTTACAATTGATATTTAGAGAAGTTTATTATTTTTCTATATAGTCATAACATTTGGAATGTAGTTAATTTTCTTTTCAAATTTGAGCTTTTTAGTTAAAAGGCTACACAATTTTATTTAATATTTTAGAATTTTAAATTAAACCTCTTAAACTTTTATTGTCTGTCAATAAGATTTTTTAGAACAAGAACTAAGGAATTGTGTTGCAACAAATTAAATTAGTAATATTTTATTAACTTAAAAG